CTGAGAATCTTTTACGTGCTGAGTGCTGGGCCAGGAGCTGGAGTTGCAACAATGAACACCCCTACTACAGCTGCTCTTGGTACCCGCCATGTCTGGCCGGTTGCTAAGGCTAGTGCCTTTCCTGATGAGGCCATTGGGTGTCTGCTGTGATTGGTCAGGCCTGTGCCACAGTGATGGTTAAATATTTTTAATGAGACCTTTGGTCCCTGGCCTTGTTTTTAGTGCGTAGATATACAGAGTAATCAATATTCACATTAACAAATGAATAATTACAAACTGAAATAAGGAAAAGAACTTTGAAGCTGACGTAGATAGACAGGGGGTGGTGGTCAGGGAAAGGTTTAAGGAGGAAGAGACTCTTAAGCTGATGAGGAGACCTGCGATAGACAGGCAGTGACTGGAGGAGACAGGAATGCAGCAAGTCAGAGCCTTCTGAGCCCATAGGGAGAGCCAGAGGATTCTGTGGACAGGATGAAGTTGAATCCAGTAAGACACAGGGGCGGAGTGGAGAACTGAAGAGCTGTGAAGAGTTCTCAGTTGGTTCGGGTGACAGTGGCTGCTGAATGTTTGTGTTCCCTGCAACATTCATATGTTGAAATCCGAATGCCTGACGGATGATGATGTAGGTGGGGCCTGTGGGAGATGCTTAAGCCGTGAAGGCAGAGCCCTCATGAATGAGACTAGCGCCTCATAAAAGAGAGTCCAGGGAGACCCTTAGCCCCTCCCACCAGATGAGAACACAGGGAGAAGGCACTGGCTTACGAACCAGGAAGGGGCCTCCCCAGAACACAGCCATGCTGGGGTCTTGATCTTGAAATCTCCGGCCTCGAGAACGCTTTTTATAAATGACCCAGTCTGCGGTATTTCGTTGCAGTAGCCCAAACGGACTAAGACTGGCTCTTTTGGGGGAGAAGTGGGAGGGTTGGTGGGATTTCTGTAAGAGGCGGTGATCGACACCGCCACTGCGGGTTAGAAAAAAAATGTGCACAGCAAGGGTGCGCGGCCCCGTGGGGCAGACCAGCCCGAGACCGCCGGGCCAGCCAGCCCCGTCCGCGCTAGCAGAAGCTGCCATCACGTGGGGATGACCCCCTTCATCAATGCCGAACCCCATAAGCTACCAAAACGAGCCAAATCATCTCCTCCCATCACCTTTGGCTGGGGAGGGCTTCCGTCCGAATTGGAAGTTCATCAGTCAGGAGTGCCCGCGCCACACGGCGGAAGCCACCGCAGCCAGTCCAAGCAGAAGGCTCTCAGAGACAGCCAGGGATGAAGCTCCAAGGCTGTGCAACCTGAAACCGCACCCCAACTACAATGTCTGACCGCTCAGCAGAGACCCTGAGCCCGCCACTGGGCTCAGTCACCTCAGCCCGTGCCACCCGCACCACCGCTAGGACCCTGCCCCCGCTGCCTTTTCCACTCAGGGCAGGCTACATCCTGGCTGCATCGCCATCGCCACGCCCCCTCTGCCCTGAAGTCTCAGGCACGTGCCCCTGACTGGTCAAGCTGAGGCCACGTGTCTGCATCCTGGCTCCGAGGGAGACTGAGAAAGCACACCGCTAGCTTCTTTCTTGGGGAAGTGACCTTCTAGTAAGAAATTCCCCAGGCATATAAGTTATGTACCCTTTCTCTCTTTCTTTCTCTCTTTCTTTCTTTCTTGTGTTCCAGAGGAGAAAACGGGAGTGTTTTCAGCTCCCACGAAGCACTGAAGGACTGGAGTTAAGCCTGAATCGTTTTCCAAGATTGGATGGAGTTAGAGCCTCACCCCCACCCCCACCCGCTCCATCGTCCTGTTTCTTTTATATTAAACGGGGCCGCCTAACACAAAACAAAACCCCCTTTGTCTTGGAATGTTTTACTTCCACTCGGGACCGGCTACATAATTTTCAAGGCTCAGTAAAAAGTGAAAATGCTGAGTTCCACGTTTGAAAATTCAGAATTTAAAGACAGAAGAGGTTCAGACCGAGCAGGGCCCTCTGAGCCCAAGCCTGCGAGTCTGCACAGATCGCTTGTCGCGGAAGCTGGCTCTGCGTCCTCTTTCCTCTTGTTGGCCGGTGGCATTTATTTGGTTCAGACACCTGTCTAATCTACTGTTGTCTGATATGGCGAGAAGAGGTGAGAATTCAAGTAATATCCTCAATAACAAGATATCTGATCAGGTCTGGATCTACCTGGAAACCTCTCAGAGCTAGTACCCACACAGAGAGGAAGAAATGTTGAAACTCCAAGGCTGAATGAAGAACAAAAGTTGCTTTGGCGAGCTCCTTCATCCTGCCTCTCCTTGCAATGCCCGACTGTTTGGCATGGGATACCGGTCGTAATGGTGAGTAAACTGGCACAGGACTGTGAAATGTTACGGAGCAGGTCTGTCTGTCTTTATTTTTTCTTTCTTTCTTTCTTTTTCGTTCTTTTTTTTTTCTTTCTTTCTTTCTTTCTTTCTTTCTTTCTTTCTTTCTTTCTTTCTTTCTTTCGTTTTGCTTGCTTGCTTTCCTTTCTTGTATAAACCTTGGTCAGATGTATTCTTTGAAGGGGGAATAAGGTGTCCATAGCCTGATTTGGCATGCCAAAGGGTACACATGTCCAACATTTCTATAAAAAGAACATCCCAAGATTCAACCATCTATTCGAGGCTTCTCCAAAGATCAATGGGGCCTCAGCTACAAAAAAGAAATCTCGGAACTGGTAATATCTCATGCTCGTCCCCACAACCTGGAAGGATTCAAGTTGCCCATGTCACTGGAGGCCTGACGCCCACCTATGGTGGTCTGGCGGTTTGGGTAGGACTATGACAGTGTCAACCCTTGGAAGGTGAGATAGAAAGCACGTTACCCCGACAGGCGGCCTTAAATGTGCCGGGGCAAGGAGGAAGGAGGCAGTGCAG